CGCTGCCCTGCTTTTCACCTGCACCCAGCCCCTCTTTGCTCTCAGCCGCCTTTTTCTTTTGTTCTTCTTCCTAGTTGTGTTCTCTCCCTCTAATAGTAGATCTCCCCCTCCTTATCAACATTTTGATGATTAACAAACAATTTCTAATCCTGTTTTCTAGTATTTTTGTTTTTCTCTAACATGCATCCAAGTTGGAGGTTGGTTGGAACTTGAGCTAAACGATGATATTCACGGAGGTTGGAGGAAATTAAAATAAAGCCGTCGTAATCCAAGCCAAATATTCAATATCGTGCTTCATCCCTACTACCAAGCTGAGGATCGTCTAAGATCTAGCTTCATGCAAATCAAGCTTGGGTATAGTGTTTTAGGTTTTTACTTTATGTGTTTATACTTAAAACGCAAATCATATACGTACACGTTATTTTAGTTTATCGTAATTGGGAATATATAATGTTTTTGGATTATTGACTTAATGATACTATTTTACATCTTTTCTAAAGTTTGTTAATCTATTTAAAAGTATCTCAAAACTTGTTTGAAATAGTTTCATCAAAATCAAGTGTTCAACAAACTCGTATTTTTTGACCGTTTTGCAAAATAGTGAGTTTTTAGAAATGAGAAATGCTATTTTAGAAATTTCTCTTCAAACATGTTTATTTTCATATGTATAAACATTTTCCCAAGTTTTACTATTTTTGGAGTTAATTTAATATTTTAAATCGAATTTAGAAAATTAACTTTTCAGGAATCTGTGTATCAATTTTTTAGTCGATTGAATTCTTGCATCGGTCGACCGATGAAACTTTTCAGTCAACTTGCCAGTAGCAGTTTTTACAGCATTAGTTTTGTCAGTCGATCAGTCGACCTACCAATAGAGTCAGTCGACCAAATAGTACTTTCAGTCGACCGATCTTGGTTTTCAGTCGACTGAGTCATGGTTGTCTGCTTTCTTTACAGTAACGGCTAGTTTATCAGTCGACCGATATATTCAACCAGTCGACTGATCATGCTTTTTACTATAATGGCTAGTTTTAGAGTCGTTTTCGTTTTGAGGATAAAAATAGTCCTCAAGGCCAATCTGAAATATAGTTTTTGTTTAGCCATTTTGGCTCCACGTTTTAAAAGAGATCAAGTGTGTTTGTTTATGTGGTAAAAGAGTTTTTACAAAGAGAAGGATCTCAATTTCGTTTTTGAGGCGTTCATCACTTCATCCTCAAATCTCAATCTCTCTTTGTTTTGGAGAAGTTTTCTAAACTCTTTATCTAGCTGGTCTATAATTTTAATTCTCATATATATATGCTAGATTAATTTGAGTTTTATCTCGTTTTACTTATTGTTTTCACACAACCACTTGAGCTTTAGTATTTCAAATTTAGTATAATTGGATTGTGAGAGTGATTCTTTGAGAGAGCTTATATCTTTCATTCTCATTTATTTAGAGAACAAAACTCGTCTTTGCACTTATTTGTTAAAAACGTTGTAATACACAAGAACACTTAGAGGAGTGGTTGGGAGAGACCGAGGTTAATTCCAAAAGGAGTGGGTTGGTTGTAAAGCTTAGGGAGAAGTTGTAAATCCAAACACTTGAGGAAGTTAACACGGATAGTCCAACTCTTAGAGGAATGTGGCTTGTGTGATTGACATCGTATGAGTTGTAAAAGTTATCGGTGAACTTGGAAACCGTTATTGTATAGTATTTGAGATTTAGTGGAGATCTCCTCGAGATGAAGAGCGGAGACGTAGGTCGAGGGTTGACCGAACTCCGTGATAATATCTTGTGTTTGCGATTGTGTTTTGGCGCCCTATTTCTCTTCATATCTTCTGTTTGTTGTTTATATCGCCTATTGTCTCTTCCTTATCCTCGCATATTTTATTGTATATCATAATTGCTAGGATATTACATTATAAGTTTTTAATTTGACATGGTAATCGGATTAGATTAGCAATTACCCTATTTACCCTTCTCTAGGGTACTTTCAACGTTGAACCTTTGCAAAGTTAGTAGGACGTGTGTATAGCTGTTTTAGATAACAACAAAGCATTTATCTCAAATTTAGGGTCCAATTAGGGTTGTCCATTCAGGCCCAAGGTCCAGGCCCAGGCTCGGTGTCCTAACCGGACCCGGGCAAAGCCCGGAAACCCGGGCCGAACCAGGCTCCGGGACCGAGTCTGGGTCGCTTCAGCGAAGCCTTCACCGGGCCTGGCCCGATCCTACCTAGCCAGGGAGATGGCCAATCCAAGTAGGCCGGGTCCGGGTCTAGCCCGGACCTAGCGATGAAAATTAGACCGGGCCAGGACCGCCCAACCCGGGCCCGGCCCCACCACAATGGTCACAAATGTGACCGTTAGCCGGGTAGCCCGGGCCCGGCAGGGTACAACGGTCATATTTGTGATAGGGCCGGGTCCAGGCCGGCATAGTCCAAGCCCGGTTCGGTTTGCTATAACGGTAATTTTTGGCATTTTAATCAAAATACCCCCAAAAACAGTTAAAAAGACTAAATTTTTTGAGGGTATTTTGATCATTTAGCTAGGAGGCTGGCTTTATAAATAGAAGGGGCTATTATTTGTTTTTCTCATCCAAAACTCATCTACCTCTCTCTAATATTGTCTTATATTCTCTAATACTCTCTTATTCTCTCTTTTACTCTCTAATTCTCTGATCAAATGGCTTCCTCATCCGATTATGAAGCGCAAGCTCCAACTCCCGTAGTTTAAACGAGTCCTACTCCTACTACACCTACAGAAGTTACTCCAACCGATATTGATCCTGAATCCAGTAGCGATGATCCCACATATAGAGCTCCTAAAAGATCGAGATCCGATGTCTAAATTTTTTTCGAGAAAATAGAAGTCACGAAGGATCAACACGGTAAACTTCTCCAGAAGGTTAATTGTGCATTGTGCGGCCATATTTTTCAAGCTCATCATAAGAGCGGCACCAACCATCTCAAACGACATTTAGAGAAGCACAACCAAGCTCAAGTGGCGACATCTCAAGGAAACATCCATCAATCTATTCTCTCTCAATCATCAACCTTCGGTAACCTCGATTCTTGGAGCTATGATGCAATTAGAGCCAGAAAATACATCATCAGGTTTATTATTCTTAAAAACTTTCATTTTAAATTAGTAAAAGATGATGAATTTGAAGATATGATTAGAGATGGTTTTTATCATGTATTTAAAAAAAAATTCTCATCAATCTTGTCAACGTGATATTTTAAAATATTATCACGAGGAACAAACAAAAATAATTTCTTATTTTCAAAATTTAAACTATAAATTTTCTCTAACTTCTGATGTTTGGACATCTAGAGTACAAACTAGTTATTTATATATCACAACATATTGGATTGATGATAGTTGGCAAATATTTAAAAGAGTTATTTTTTTATTGCATTTGAAGATTCACACACTAGTGTTAATATTGCAAATTTAATACTAGAAGAACTTACAAAATTAGAAATTTTTACAAAAATATTTTTTCTTTCACTAGATAATGCAAGTAATAATAATGCAGCTATAGATCATATCAAATCATCTTTGCTACTACCATGTCATTGTGATATTTTTTTATATTAGATGCATGTGTCATATTTTAAATTTAATTATTCAAAGTGCATTTAATAAAATTAAACACATTATAGAATAGGTTAGGGTTATAACTTATGCTCATAATGCTTCTGAACAATGATTTAAAAGATGGAAATAGTTGTGTAAAAGAAAAAAATTTAAAACCCAGATTAATTCCAAAAGATGTTGATCATAGATGGAATTTCACCTATGCAATATTAAATGTAGCAATAGAGTATAAAAAATATAAATGATTTTACTATTTTCTATGCTTCTAGTTCCAGCTCTGGTAGTATGTACGGAATAACTGATAATAAATGGATAGTTATATATAGTGTAAGCAAGTTTTTAAATGTCGGATGTCGGGTTCATATCGGACGGCTGAATCCATGTCGGATAGCAAAAATCGGGGATATATCGGGGGACATGAACTAAATATCAGATTGCCATATCGGGTGGTGCGCATATGTATAATATTATGTCCTAAATATAATCTAAGCATTTCTAAATTCAATATAAGCATACTTTATAAATTCTAGAGACGACGCCGGTGATGGGTGGATTCCGACATCGTAGGGAGACAGTGCTGACGACGGGACGTCGTAGGGAGGCAGTATCGGGGCTCTTCTTATTCTTCTTCGTCTATTCAGAGTCCTTCGGATGAGTCACCGACCACCATCTTCTCTTTATCCTAACGATGGGATACCCTACCGCCCTCGGATTCGGTTAGGGTTCAGATTTTAGGGCGCAACGGGAGATGTACAACGAGGGTCCGAGATGGAGGTGGGGGAAGGACATCGTCGTTCACGAAAGGAGTAATCGATTCCCAAGTCTGCTGAGCCCTAATTTTTCTCTTTTCTTTCTATCGAGTTCATAAGAAACCCTTAAATATGAGAACGGGTCAAACGAGCTTGGGTTTTTATCACTAAACCCAAACCCGATAACAAAAAACAGAACTTTAAGAAAGGGTCATATCGATCGATTTTTCACGGCTAAAAAATCGGCTGATATGCTCGATATGACCTCGATATTTCCGATTTGTCCCTGAAAACCGACATACGAGGTGAAAACACTCATGTAGTGTCGCTTAAGCCCTCAAAGTCGGATGACATGTCGGCTGACATGAAGATGTTTCTTTTCTCCTTCTTGTAGCTAATATAAAGAAATAATCCTTCTAGTCACACATGTATATATGTAAAAAGAGTCAATCCTCAACCAATGTAACCAAAAAATAGAGCAAACAATAATTGGAAAGCAACAAAGAGATTTTTAGAGTAACCTCCACAAGCAAATAAGAAGCTATAAAATAGGTTTAAACTTCATGAAGCAGTGGAATTCAACTAGTTACAAATAACTCAGTGCATATACAGACATGTTAATTAAACTTATACACAACGGATAATTCAATATGCAAATTCAAGACATACTTGTTTATGACCATGGTGCAAGGGACTCCATCCTTCCTTTTGCCCTTGCAAATCCCATAGTCAGTGGAAGTTCCTATCTTTGAAATGTTGCTCGCAGAGTATACACTAAGAGAAAACCCATTGCTCTGTTCAAGAAAAAGTAGGTAAACACGATTATATTGTTGCCGTAAAGAAACATCTCAAGGACACAAGTAGCATCTAGGCTCATACCGCGTCTTTTCTGAGTGACGCGTTGAAAAGCGCAAAGACAGCTCCAACCGGTTCGTTACTGTTCATTGTGTAAGCATCACCAAAAAGGAAAACAGATACATTCGTTTCATCCAAACACCCCATTTTCCAAACACAATAGTTTTTCCCGGACGAGCTCATTTTAGTGGTGACCTTTTCGATCAAGACCCCAACCGTTGCCCAACAACCAGAAAATTTGTCACCCGCTATCAAATTCCTAATAACACCAACAATAAATCATACCCAAGTCACAATTCTACACAATTAACACGATAACAAAAATTTTCAGCGGGACATTTTGTCAAACAGTAGAGGCCCGATCCAATTACCTAATAACTGGCAACCGAACGAATCGGATCTCAGAGAAGCGGTTGCTCAATTCAGGTGCTGACACCAGTTGGTTCCTATTCCAAAGAAAACATTGCAGGCGTTTTACAATATAATATTTCATTCTCCCCCCAGACTTCGAAATTTCTAAGAGTTGGGTAACTCACTTGATTCGAAGACCCGAATACTTCTCAACATCAACTTCATTTGACTTTCTGGGTTTGTTCGATGCAGAAGGAACTGAGGAATTGATGGAGCTGGGCTCAGTCTGCATATAGTCTTTGACGGCGTCTCGAAACACCGACATGTCACTGGACCGAAATCCCCTTGGAGATCCATCATCTGGGGTTGTACAATGATTAGAGAGTTAGAACCCCAAGTTTCGCAATTCTTGAGGAGATAAATCTGTCATCTCTATTACCTGGTAAATGAGAATAAGAGGAAGGTGGGGAGCCTGGTGGAGTCTCTAGGACTCTCTCTTCTCCGAGAGAGAGGAGAAGGTCGAGGTCATCGCTGGGGTTTGACATGGCGGCTGAGAGGGAGAGGGAGAGGGAGAGAGAGAGAGCGATTCACATATTTAGGTGTTCAAGAGAAATAACGGTGGAGGGAAATTAAAGATTTTGCATATTTGGCGGGAACCCTTTTTTTTTTTTTTAACCTCAAGAAAAACGATTCACCGTGATTTTCTCCGTTAGCTAGTTCCCTCTCATATTTGTTTTACCTTCTTTCATTTTCTAGTGATTCGATATTTACTTCATAAGATACAAACGTGATTCTCTCTCTCTCATTTTCTAGTGACTTGATTATTACCCCATAAGTTATACGGTCGTATAATCATCCCGGCAAGAGCATCAGACTAGCAATATGTAGATTTTTGGAGATTCAGTGCCAGGGACTATAGATGTACATATTTTTGACACCGCGTCTGGCACGATTCCACCACAACTTTTGCTTATCACGTCTTTCCATTGATTTGGGTCCTGTCAATTTACATTATTAAACAGTGGCGGAAAAACACTTTCCAAATCTCAACCTTCCATTTATTATAATCTATTCCGACACTTTTGTCATAATTGCATGCAAATTACATTTATTCCAACTGTTCTTTCAAGACAAAACATAACCGTTCCAGATAATAAAATGTTTTCATAAAAGAAATGAATTCTTCACTATCGACCCCTGCCCGCGAGGTTCCTAAACCATAAAGCAGCAAAAGAGAGAATAGGCAACACAATTTACTTCCAAGTGCCGTACGAGCAAAATATTTACTAATCAACAAATAATCAAGACATAAAATTGGTCAAAAACCTCATTTCCTCTATAGCTGTTGTTTGTCAATGCGCGAGGCATAATACGTAATGCGGAGTGCAAAACATCTTTATATCTTTATATGCACATGCGCAAGACGTGGCAACGCATGTTACGCCTTGCGCCCGAGTGATGTGAGGCGCATACCGCACACATCATTTTTCAAGATATTTAATCAACAAGCATGAAAGAACATGTTTAGAAATTCACATAAAAAATATGTCAGGATAAATAATATCTTACTACAAAATCACAATATAAAGTCCCAATTTTAATGCTAACACCCAACATAGTAGCTAAATTCATAAATTTTCAAATCAAATGTCAAATCAACACTAATATCCAAGCAAATGATAGTTATGATCCTCAATCGAAAGCCACTAAAAAGACATGATGAATTTATTTTTCTTTTTAGGATTTAGATTATTGAGTAAAAAACTCGATTGAAATGTTAATAAACAAAACTATACGAGGGTATGTACTACAAGCACCATGTGCAAAGTCAAGATGTGTACGATGCGCAAAAGGCGCTGCTGCATCAAATGCAGCACGCTTCGCCACCGCCCGGCATCTCAAGGCGCATGAAGCGCAATGAGGCAGGCCTTTGAAAACACTAAAGAGAACATACTTAGTACAAAGCAACAAAGTTCTATAGCACAACACATTTCCGAACATGAAAGAATGATCAACTTTTGCAGAATGCACGGAGAGTTTCATCAAGGGCCTTTTTGTCATAGTCTCCCGTAAAAACACAACTGCCCAAAGGTCCTTTAAGAAGGATAAGTCGCAGTAATCCATCGGCCACCTTTTTATCCACCTATTAGTTCAAGAGAGGAAATAATTGCTCAAAATACAATACCGTATTTGAAAAAATAACATGGATTAGTGGATAAAAATCCTATAGAGGGCCCGATGGAAAATCATACAGAGAGGTATGCTCATCCCTTCTCACCCTATATGATTTTTAACAAAGGGCTCTCTATATGATTTTCTTTCCTCGACTAGGATCTCTAGTACCTACCGCCATAATAGATTTAAATTTATCCACTGTCATTATTTCCGGAGGAGCAGTTGGAAGATTGGCCTGCTGCAGGATTCGAAGGACACGATCAGCAATAGAATGGTCTATCCAACCAAGTCTATATGACATGTCTACAGCCATCACCTGCCCATACAAAATTATGATGCAGTCAGGGAATCAAATTAACAGACGAAAAATAAAGAATAGTAAAGGGAACTGATGTGTACGGTGCCAGCAGCAACAGCTTCTCCATGGAGCCACTGCCCATAGCCAAAACCATTTTCTATAGCCTGAAAAAGATCAGCTATCGTTATAAGCATGAAGTTGTAATAAAAAGTATTCCGATGAATGCTTAAGATTAAAGGAACAATTAAACAAACGGGTTGTTCAGGTTCTGATAACAGAGGAGTAACCATAAAAGTGGATTAGAGTATAGAGTTGTTGACACACATAAGTTAAAACATTGCAAGACTGCAAGTAAAATAATCATCATTTTAGTATCTGTAAAAATCTACAAATTGTGAGCAGTGAGCCCTCAACCAGTACAAGGTCGACCATTGCCAAGAAAAGACATTTTAAATTTTGCCCGCAACAGACGAACTCACATTTACACACATACACAGAGAGAAATAATATATTATACTCTAGAAAAGAATAACTTTTGTTCCTCTTTCCTTTCTCCTAACTATTACAAGATATCAAATGCAAGTCTTGCAATGAAACAAGGTGAAGACAAATGAAGGAACAAGGACTCGAAATGGGGAACCAAAAGTGAAAATGTAGTCTTATTTTCAAATCTACTACCCAAATATGCATCCTAAGTTATGAAAGAAATCCGTATTACATGGAAACAATTTACAACCAATCAACCATAAATATGTAACCAATGTTGAGAATAATGACAACATATAACATAATGCTCTGCTTCTTGTTAGGTTAAAGGGCATATAACATATCACATATCACAGGTTACTTGCTTTATTATTTATTTAAATTAAAACAAATACATAAGCGAAAAGAAATATTTGAAAAGAATTCGCCTGAAAATACTGTTAGTTTCATAACATTGAATATGGATATGCATGATCTCAATTTTCAAACCATTTGACTGATCTTTAGATATTTAAGTTTAACAATTATATAACTAAATCATAAAAACTAGAATTGCCATCAGCACAACAAATCAAAAACATCGATCAACATTGATCAACCAATTCTATGATCATACTCCCTTTAAAAGTACGAGTTCGGGAAAATCTTTCCATTTGACTATTTGAATATTTTATTTAAATTTAATTTATTATAATCATAATTATATCCTATCTTAATCCTATGTGAACAACTTACAGGTCAATTATTTAAAAAATAATAAGCTATAATATATGAAGATTGCAAAAAAACCCAAAAAGTTCCAAAAACTGCACAAAACACCCTTAAAAGTATAAAATTACACAACATCCAGACATTTTAAAACTTAAAACAACAAACATGAAACCCTCAATATTTTAAAAACTATATAAAAACACCCTCAAAAGTTCAAATAATAAAAAAAGCACTATGAAATTCTGATATTTCAAAACTTGCGGATAACAAAGACGAATTCAAGGAATTACTATCAAACACTAAAAAACTAAAATTTATAAAAAATAACTTCAAAGTTATAAAAATTCCAAAAAACTCCTTCGAAAATTAAAAAACACACAAAACCCTAAAATTTAATAACTTATAACCAATACATATCAAATCTCAAAATTATCAGCAGACCGCTAAAAATTTAAATTTGCAACAAACAATCTAAAGATTCAATAATTGCAAAAAATACCCTCAAAATTCAAAGTTGCAAGAAATATTGACATTAAAAAACTTCCTACCAACACATGAAACATGAAAATTACAAGCACTCAACTTAAAGTTTAAATTTTTTTAAAAAACTCTCAAAGTTTCAAAATTTGTAAAACACACCCTTAAAAATTTAAAATCACGAAAAAACGACTAAACTTTCAAAACATGGCAAAAAAAAAGTAGTTGTTTAATATTCTTTCATTAAGATATGTAAATTTAACTTTTATTTTAAGGTTTTACTATCTTTTTTGGCATCTAAAATATTCTTTCATTAAGATATGTAAATTTAACTTTTATTTTAAGGTTTTACTATCTTTTTTGGCATCTAAAAGTAGTCTAATTTTATCAAAAAAGATAAAACTTTTATTTTAAGGTTTTACTATCTTTTTTGGCATCTAAAAGTAGTCTAATTTTATCAAAAAAGATAAAGGTGGAGAATGATTGATAACGTCTTAATAAAAAATAAAATAAAAGGAATGAAAGACACTATTTTCTAAATATTTTATAGAACAGGTTTTTTTGAGTAAATTAGGAATTTTTGGAAGGGGTTTTCATAAACTTTTTTAGTACTTTTATATGTTTATGTGGATGTTTTCATTATATAAAAGTATACTAGATTTAGTATTAATCTTTATTATATAATTTTTTAAAGTTATCAAGGATTAGGAACAAACTCCATATTATCTTTTGTGTCACTTTTAACCAATCATCTTGTCTTATGAGCTTTAATTATTCATTTTTCTTTTAGAACACGATTTTTTGAAATGTTTTTCACTTTTACAATGCTATATTTTCTCAGGTCAAGCTTGGTTTCATGTTGGTCTCAATGACATGATAATTCAAATTGATTTTGGATTACATTTATTTTCTATCAATTCAATTATTAATATAAAAACTTAAATTGGGTATAGTTCATTTAAACGAATATTAAAGAAAATAAATAATCACAATGCTAAAGTTTAGAGATATAAGTAAGCAAAAACCATCAAAAGTGGAACCAATGAGATTTAGTAAGGAAATAAACCAAATATACTTAATCATGATATTTGACCATGTGCATTGCACGTGCATAAAACCTAGTAACCAAAAAAAAGCAAGCTTCAAGGAATACGTTGTGTTCCATTAGGGATACTTATTACAAGAAAGAAGTTAAACATAAAATATGATGAAAGCCAACACTTGCAGACATAAAGGTATTTATATTACTTGACATAATCTGAAAAAAGCTCCTTTATAATGTCAGAAAATGTAATAATGCATCAAACCTCATGCTCATGATTTGCAATCACCCGCTTGGATGCATCGCCAAATGGTTTTCTACTTCAAGATATTCAAAGTTGTCTCGTAGTGAAGAAAATGAAAGTAGGTCAAGAAATCATTTTCTACATTAAAATATCCTAATTTGACTAGCCGTGAAGAACACTTCAGAATAGGGCCAGTATACTAACTGGTAAAGCCACGAGCGGATCCAGAGATTTTTCTGCCCTTGGGTAAAGCACTCCACAGAGGTTTAAGATACCAAGAGAAACATGGAAGTATAATAATCATCATCTTTTTGAAGTTGTCTATGTACTCACCTATGAGACAATCCCTTTGACACTAAGATTCTAAGAAACAACCTTACACCTTTTGGATTATACGTTCAGTTAAAGAATATTTTTTATGGCGGATTTGGTCGTTAAGTACAAACAAATGTTTTAATTCCAAATGTTTATCTGAACTAATTTTTTGACCCTAACCTCAGTCTATCTGAAACATAATAGATAAATCATCCAATGATTGAGTTACAAATTTGATCGACTAAAGGCCATTTAAAGACGGTACCCTTTACATTTCCAGAACATATTTCATGTAATAAATTGTTTTCCTTCCTTTATTCTAGAAAAAAAGGTGAAAACGTGACCAGATATGCAGATACATCAGCCTTATAATCAGTGTCGTCATCCGGGTCTTTGCACATCATAATCAGGTAACCAAGCAATAAACTCAATGTGGAAACTCCTTGAAAGAAATGACAGAATTTAAAAAAAAAGGGTATCGACATGACAGCAGTCCTATCACATGTACCAAACTCATAGCAAAAGTAATTTTAATAAAAGGAGATTCTAATATTCTACTAATAAAATATTGTAAGCCAATTGGCAGATAGGTATTTTTCTAGTCATGCAGTACCATAACGAAGCAACCCTCAAAAAGTTCCCAGACCAGACCAGACCAGGATGCTAAAAAGGAAATTGTCCATATGAAAGGAAAATTAGATACAGTATGCTTAGGGAACCACATTGATATCTAAGACACTGCATAATGTAAGCCAAAAGCCATCTGGAACCAGAAGACATGCCTAAGAAAATAAGATTGAATGTGCTATGCTAGCATATGTGTGACCCAAGTTCAAGGTTGCCCTCAAGCCGCTTTCCTTCTCGTCTAAGGAGACTACCTCAGCTTTGTTTTCACATGATCGCTTGATCGCATATGCCAAGGCACTTGGATCCCTGCAAGAATAACTCATATCTAAAAGCATTCTAACAAAGAACTGCATGTTGAAATCCGACAAAACAGAACTTCAGAAGTTTAATCAAGGGTACTGAAGCCATTATATAGTAACTTGATAGAAACAACGAACTACGATTAAACGTGGTACAAATGTCCGTCGTTGAGAGTTTGCACATTTCTTAAGTTAAAGGTTCTTGGTCCGTGCTGAAGAAGCAATAAAGGGAGATGTTAAAAGTATAAAACTATAACCCTCAACTCTCACAATAACTTTGGGCTTTTGGTGATGTGGCATGAACCTTTGACATGATATTAGAGCAACTCATGTTCAATTCCCACCGGCCACGAGTTTAAAATGGATTTGGGGGGGGGGGGGGCCACTACGTGAGTCCAGGTCCAACCCATAAAAGGGGCACTCAACCTGCAGGTGCATGTTATAGTATAAAACTACAACATCACAACTTCATCGTTTTAGTGCAGTGGCAGGGGCCTATGACAGCAAATAAAAGGCTTTGCAGAGCACCTTTCAGCCTGCGTTCTCCAGCATGTTTGCCCCAAAAGAATGCTGTTGAAGTCAATCTCAAGTGCAATAAATGTTTCCAAGTCTCAAGTTCTTGTGACGCCACGTCTCAACATTAAAAAGCACTTTTTTAATGGTTTGATGACATTTAGGAGTGCATGGTAAAAAGAAATGGTTGGTGGTGAAGAAGACTGGTGAGATCTTCGTTAAATGGAAGGACCAATGTAAATGTCTCATGCCCTTTTGAAAAAATGAAGGGTGGCAAAAAAAGGTACTCTCTTCTTTTTAGTGCCTCTTACAAACCCTCCAGAGACAGATACCAACATTCCCTAAATTTTGTCAAAATATCTTTGAAAAGAAAGAATTTACTAGGCAAAAGGTCATTTCATCAATTTATTGGATACTCCAAACATAAAGAGAGTTTTGTAGAGGATTTAAACGCAGCAACTACGTGATCAAAATGTCATATAAGCTACAGTGTGAATCCTGATCTTGAAGCTACAACTAGGGACATAGGAAGAACAAGACTTTTAATTCCTAAGCAGAAAAATATTGTTCTACAGACATCGGTGAAAATGTACATTGGTGAAAATGTCGATATGTACAAACCCAAACGTAGCAGACTTCTAACAAAAAGTTATGATTTTGGTTATGGAAAATGTTCGTGCATCTTGAACAGAGAAATGCTCTAAAATTATTTTGTCTCATGTCCTAGACTATGCATGATAAGATTCTGTGAACAAATGATATGCGAAGAAATCCAAAAGAGATCATATCTAACAAAAGTTCATTATGGAC